TAATTAGTAGTGAATCTTAAGGAAGAATGGGATGGGCGAGGGAGTAGGAAATGGGATGGTTTGTGGGTGGGAGGGTGGTTATGGGGAGAAGAACCTCTATAATCCTAAAATTCTACTATGAAATTTATATTTATTAAATAAAAGCTTTCACAATTCAAAGGCCACAAACCTTGGCTTCATCAGTGGGGTGGCATCAGAAGCAGTTGGAGTTCATTGGCACCAAATGACAGGTGAGAATAGTTAAGATAGACAGTTGTTCATTGAGTGTTGCATTGAGGGAAGATTTTTTTCCCAATTTTTTGAATTGGGAAATACTTAGTTCAATGGCTTTCAGAGCTTTTGACGTATACTGAGAAGTACAAGTTACATCACCACTAATTACGTACACAAAGATTACTGAAGCCAAATTTCTCAAAACGACATTTACCTTTTGCATCTTTAATGCACTCTGGTACTTGCTGTGCTATTCTTTTTTTGATACTTTTTAAGGATTTATTTTGTTTATTTGAAAAGCAGAGTTACAGAGAGAGAGGGAGAGACAGAGACAGAGAGATTTTCTATCCACTGGTTTATTCCCCAGATGGCCTCCATGGTCAGGGCTGGGCCAGATCAAAGCCAGGAGCCAGGAGCTTCTTCTGGGTCTGTCATGTAGGTACAGGGGCCCAAGGATCTGGGCCATTCTCTGCTTTCCCAGGCACATTAACAAGAAACTGGATTGGAAGTGGACTGGCCACTATATGGAATGCCGGCCACTGTGCTACTCTTTATCATTTCACTAAGAACAAAGGTCTGGTCTGCGGCTACTAACTTGTTTTCACACTCCACACTCTGGATTTCAGAAGCACAGTCTACATTTAGAGGCCTTCACGATGGAAGTTAAGAGCTTAAGTAGGGGCCAACACTGTGGCGCAGCAGGTTAATGCCCTGGCCTGAAGCTCCGGCATCCCATATGATTGCCGGTTCGAGACTCGGCTGCCCCACTTCTGATCCAGCTCTCTGCTATGGCTGGGAAAGCAGTAGAAGATGGCCTAAGTCTTTGGGACTTAGTCTGCACCTGTGTGGGAGACCCGGAGGAAGCTCCTGGTTCCTGTCTTCAGATCTGTGCAGCTCCGGCCATTGCGGATTGCATCGGATGGAAGACCTCTCTCTTTCTCTCTCTCTCTCTCTCTCTCTCTTTCTCTCTCTCTCTCTCTCTCTCTCTCTCTGCCTCTCCTCTCTCTGTGTAACTCTGACTTTTGAATACATAAATAAATCTTTAAAAAAGAAAAAAGATTGTAAGAAAGGGGCCGACCTTTAATTACAACAAGGGTGGTGGTTTCATGGTGGTGACAAGGAAGACAGGTCATGTGTGCACAGGCAAGGTGTGATGGAGGAGGACAGGTGACGTAGCCACTTGAGGGAATAGGAAAGCGGACTCGAGGGAACTGCGGGAAGTTGAGCAGTAGTGTGTTGAATGCTCGCTTGAGATTCAGCAGGCACCACACGGATGGGTGGTATGACTTTGTCTCCCTCTTGGGAGATGTTGGTTTTGGTCTTGTGCATCGCTGGGTCAGAGAGCCTCAGAGACACTATTAAGTGCTGGTCCAGAGAAGAGTGGTGAAAGTGACCAGGGAGCGAAGGGCTTGGCACTAGGAAGGGTTTTATTTGAGCTTCGGCAGAAAGGGTGGCAGGACTCAGGAGCTAAGAATCTTGAAGAATATGAGTTGGTTGACTATGGAGTTGGTCGTCAGCTGGCTCAGCCTGCAGCTGGCAGGGCCACTCTCACAGGAGGTGAACTCAGGACATAGAACCTGCAGGCCCGAGCTTTTCCATGCGAGGGTGCTCCCTGCCAGATGGCAGACCTCCTGAAACGGGGTGTGTGGGGACGGCAGACCCCCTGAGACGGGGTGTGTGGGGACGGCAGACCCCCTGAGACGGGGTGTGTGGGGACGGCAGACCCCCTGAGACGGGGTGCGTGGGGAAGTGGGAACGATTTCGTTAGTGGACTCTGTGGGCATCCTTCATCTTCTGCGCAGCATCATTGGACTTCTTGGGTCAGAGCCAGAGCAGGGACAGCCATGTACTCTTGGTTTCCAGGCTGGCTGTGGGATCATTAGACTGAAACAGGAAAGGAAAATCCCTCTCAAATCTGGGATTTTGTTGCTTCAGAAAATAAAGTTATTAAGCCTCCTTAGCTGTTAGTGTGATGACTTCCGCAGGTTTATTCCCTCGTCGTAAGTCCACAGGCCAGCAGGTATTTCCTGAGGCCTTGCTGGGAGGACGCCTTAGACGTGGTCTGAGCTACGTAGATCCCATAGTGCTGTGTTTCCCTTGCCTGACGGAAATCACCCAGTGATGGTGGCGGTGGGAGCCCCTGGTCCCAGGGATGGAGGAAGTACAGGAAGTTGTCCTCAAATGCAGTCACGCAGCGCTGGGACCGGCCAGCTGGCTCGTGTTCTAGACTCATCTCACCTGGCTCTGCAGAGCTGCGTTGTCCCGTAGCACTTAGGACCCGCTTCTGTTTCTCTAACTGAATCTTCAGCTAGTCTTGTACTGAAAGTTTACCAGCCGCCTTGCAGCCCATTTGTTCCTTGGCAGTGTGCATGACCAGCGAGCGCACGAGCAGCCTCCCCGTCTGTGGGGTGCCTGTCCCTAAATAGGAAGCTGGTTTCTCTCTCTCTGTGGTGCTGCATAATTTAGTGCTTGCTTCCACAATGAATCATTTTCAAAAACAGAATCATTACAGTCATAGGGCTAGAAAACCAGCATGTGTTTTTATTAAAGACTTTGAAAAACCCATTTTTAGGGAGGGGACTGGTAAGATCAGTCTGATAGTTCAAAGGAGAACTAAACACTTGAGAATGGCCACAGTTACAGATCAGCAGTGTTGACCCGAGTGTGCACATGGAGACAGAGCTGGCTTCCTGCCATTGGGGGGAGGGGGGGGAGTCGGAGCTCCACCCCACAGACTCGCCCGTCTACGAGGGCACCTCGACGGAACCCATGGGATCCATGGGAAGGTGAACTTAAAAGATGAGTGTATTTTGCTGCAAAATCTTTCTGAAATCCATGTGTAGTTTTTCCATAATATGCAATTTTCCATGAACGTTTTAGAGTCCCCACGAATGCATCAATTTTAGGTTTTTTTTTTTTTTTTGCATAAAAACAAACTTTTTTTCCCCTCGTTTTCTGTGAATTTTTGTAAGTATCCTAATAGAGACAATTATTTTTCATTGCTATCAGTTATCTACAACTGTTTTTTTTTTTTTTTTTGGTTTTTAATTGACTTAGAATTGTACTTGTTTAAGGGGTGCAGTCGGTTAATGTGTCCCATGTATGATGTATAGAGGAGTCACCATCTCCGTCCCCTCGGGTGTTACCATGTCCGTCTGTTTGGAACCTCCAAGCTGTTCTGTTCCGGTCATTTTGTTATCCACACCTCGACAGAGCTGTGCCTTGGCTCAGAGGCATCGCAGATTTCTCTCTACATCCAGTGTAGTCCTTATACCTTAGTATCACACTACAAGGAAAATGGAAGAAATCAACTGATAAAAAGATCATTGATGGACGGCGCTGCAGCTCACTAGGCTAATCCTCTGCCTTGCGGCACCGGCACACCAGGTTCTAGTCCCGGTCAGGGCGCCGGATTCTGTCCTGGTTGCCCCTCTTCCAGGCCAGCTCTCTGCTGTGGCCAGGGAGTGCAGTGGAGGACGGCCCAAGTGCTTGGGCCCTGCACCCCATGGGAGACCAGGAGAAGCACCTGGCTCCTGCCATCGGATCAGCGCGGTGTGCCAGCCGCAGCGTGCCAGCTGCGGCGGCCATTGGAGGGTGAACCAACGGCAAAGGAAGACCTTTCTCTCTGTCTCTCTCTCTCACTGTCCACTCTGCCTGTCAAAAAAATAAATAAATAAAATAAAAAAGCATTGATTATTGAAAGAAAAATTCTCAAGCTTTTTAAAAGCCGTTTCCATATGATTCTTTATAAAAAATGTTTACAGGATTTGTGATACTACTTTGAACTATGGCCTGAGCATGGAGAAACTGATTGAGGGGCCGGCACTGTGGCTTGGTGGGTAAAGCCATTGCCTACGGTGCTGGCATCCCATACGGGTGCAGTCCTGGCTGTTCCACTTCCTAGCCAGCTCTCTGCTAATGGCCTGGGAAAGCAGTAGAAGTTGGCCCAGTTCCTTGGGCCCCTGCATCTGTGTGGGAGACCCAGAGGGAGCTCCTGGCTCCCGGTTTGGATTGGCTCAGCTCTGGCCGTTGTGGCCATCTGGGGAGCGAACCGTGGATGGAAGACTTCTCTCTGCCTCTGCCTCTCTGTAACTCTGCCTTTCAAATAAATAAATCTTAAAAAAAAAGAAAAAACTTTTTGAACCATGGTGCAGAATCACAGATACATTTCCCGAAGTACACAGTCACACAGTGGCTGGGTCTTCTTGATTAATGGGTATGGATACTCTTAATTAGTGTCGCAAAACTGAAGGCCACCTTGAGGTCAGTGTTGATGACGTGTTCAGAGATGGTGAAGGAGTGAAAGTCCTGGGGCTGAGGGAGGGCTGTAGAGAGCCAAGGGTGTTCTGTGGGAAACCGGCAAGAAACATGGAGTGCAGGAGGACTGGAGTGGGCACCTGGGGTACCCCTGTTAGAACCCCACCTTCCCGAGCTCTGTGTTGCTGTGCTACTCTCTGTCTTAGTGCCCTTGCACCTTGCACATTAGAGTGGCAGCGTCTGTGTGTTTGGGAAAGCACCTCCGTGCTCTATGCAGAGCTCCCCTAGAGCGTGGGGTTTGCAAGGAAACCTAGAGTATCACGTCTCTGTGTTTGTATTGGGGGAAGGGAGAGAGCTCCCCAGAACTGCCGTGACCCCCAGCCCCTCCCCACCCCGCCCGTGTTCCTGTGCACCCGAGGCACGTGTGGCTAAGGCTGAGGCACCTGTGCAGGCTCGCGCACCCCTCTGCCTGCTTCACCGCTGTAAGTGTCCTCGTCCTGGCTCTACTGAGAAGGCCTTTTGAATTTCAGGTAAGAAACATCACAATGAATTTCAGCTTCTGGTGGATCAGGCCAAAAAAGGATACAAGAAAGCTGCTGGAATGGCAAAAAGCCAAGTGAGCAGAAGAGAAGATGAGGCTACAGGAGTTCCATTGTCTGTGTGCATGGGTAAGAGGAAGAAAACCAGAAACACTGTGACTTTCATTATTTTTAATCCAAAAAGGAAAAGCCAAAGTAGCTGACTTTGGCGTTCTGAGCTATTTGACGGGGGAGCAAGTACGCTGTGGAGTGGAAACTCGGTTTGTTACTCCGGGAAGGAGCCTGGAGGAGCGGCCTGAAGCAGCAGTCTCGGAAGCCCCTGTTCCTCTCAGCCCTGATCAGTTGTGCGTTTCTTAGTTTTTAAGCTTGAGGATATTTTCTAAGTGTTGGATTTATTGCTGGAGATCCTAAGATATCCTACAGAGAGAATGAATTATTTTTGTTACAGAATGGTGGTGTTTGCTTTGGGAGAAATGTTCTGACGGAAACAAAAGCTGCACTTGGGTTGCTAGTCCACGGCACATCGCTTTAATCTTGATGCTTGTTACATGGAGCTTAATGTTTCTCTCTCTCAGCCCACACATATGCATGCTATATTCAATATTCTACAAGAGTTCTATGCATTTTAAAAGTTTTTTAGAAGGGTTTTTTGTTTGATTTTATTTCTTTGAGAAGCAGACAGAAAGAGGTCTTTCATCTGCTGGTTTACTTCCCAAATACCCACAACACCCAGGAGCTTGGAATTCCGTCTGGGCCTCCCTTGTGGGTTACATGGGCCTGCTGCTTCCCAGGCTCTGCATTAGTGGGAAGCTGGAACGGGACGCGGAGCCCCTGTGATAGGAGATGCAGATATCCCAAGAGGTGTCCTACCCACTGTGTCAGACACCCACCCCATATGGTTTTTTTATTAACATGTGGTTAGCGGCCAGCACTGTGCTCTAGCAGGTAAAGCGGCCGCCTGCAGTGCCGGCATCCCATATGGGTGTTGGTTTGAGTCCCGGCTGCTTCACTCCCAATCCAGCTCTCTGCTATGGCCTGGGAAAGCAGTGGAAGATGGCCCAAGTCCTTGGGGCCCTGCACCCATGTGGGAGACTGGAAGAAGCTCCTGGCTCCTGGCTTCAGATCGGTGCAGCTCCGGCTGATGCAGCCATCTGGGGAGTGAACCAGCGGATGGAAGATCTCTCTCTCTTTCTCTGCCTCTCCTTCTCTCTCTGTGTGACTCTTACTTTCAAATAAATAAATAAATCTTTAAAAAAAATACCCAAAACGTGTGGTCGTGGTGTATATTTTGAGGCACGTTGAATACTGTAAGTCGATCTAGTCACGATAATTCCCTTTTGCATCTCCTCGCCATTGCATTATGTTTGGAGCCCTCTAGCTCCACTCTTTTAGCTCTTCAGAGCACATTTATTAGGGTGCTGAATATTAGTCACCCAGTGTTATGTTTCTAATGCTGGGGCTTTGGGGCGTGAGCAGAGCAGAATCATTTAGCAGGAAGTTCACAGGAAAGTTGGTTTTCTCTTTGTTGTGGTAAAATGTATATAGCAGAGTATCATTCTTTTAACCATTCTTAAGTGTTCAGTTCATTGGCATTAAATTCACATATTGTGTAACCGTCACCATTATGCACACCCAGAGATGTGTATTTTATTCCCCCCGTGGGCTCTGTAATTAGAGAACAGTGGTTCTCCCTTCCCCGTCTCCCCGGCAGTCTGCTTCCTGTGTCTGTGGATTTCCCTGTGGTGGGTCCCTCACGTGGAGCATCTGTCCTTTTATGTCGCTGTATTCCTTTAGGTGTGTGTTCTCAGGGCCTGAATGTGTTGCACACACATTCATTCCTTTGTGTGGCTGGGTAATATTCCATTGCGTGCGTGTACCGCATTTTGTTGTCTCCTTGCTCGTTTCCACCCTGGTTATCGTGAATAGCACTGCTGTGAGCCGTGGGGTCAACCCTCTGTTGCCTGCTTTCAGTTCTTGAGGATTTGGGCTTAGGAGCAGAGTTCCTGTTCACGGCCGATACTTTGATCGTTGAGGAACCGCCACACCGTCATCTATGGTGACTGTGGTATTTTACACTCGCACAAACAACGTGTGAGTGTTCCGGTTTCTCCATGTCATCGTCCATAATTGTTACTGTCCGTTTGTTATCATAGCCATCTTAGTAGACAGAGGTACAGATGCTTGTGGGTTTTTGTTTGCTTGTTTGTTTTGGATTTTTTTTTAAAGATTTATTTATTTGAAAGAGAGTTACAGAGGTCTTCCATCCGCTGGTTCACTCACCAAATGACTGCAATGGCCAGGGGTGGGCAAGACTGAAGCCAGGAACCAGGAGCTTCTTCCTGGTCTCCCACGTGGGTGCAGGGGCTCAAGGACTTGGGCTGTCTTCTTCTGCTTTCCCAGGCCACAGCAGAGAGCTGGACTGGAAGTGAGCAGCCAGGACTTGACCCAGTGCCCGTATGGGATGCCGGGGCTGCAGGCCAGGGCTTTGAAAGACTGTGCCACAGCGCCGGCCCCTACTTGTGGTTTATGATTTGCAATTTGCTAGTGACTAATGATGCTGAGCAGCGTTTCATGTGGTTGTAAACAACTTGTCTTTCTTCTTCGGAGAAATAAATACGCAGATCACCCGCCCGATCTGTGGCTGGGTTGCTTGTGCTGTAGTTGTTGCTGCCGGGTGGGGTTTAGCCCAGTGGTAAGGGGCTGGTTGTAGTGCTCACATCCTGTGTTGGAGTGCCTCATGGAACTCTAGTGCTGCTCCTGATTCCAGCTCCCTCCTAACGTAGACCCCTAGAGGCGGCAGGCGATGGCTCAAGTGTTTGGGTCCCTGCTACCCGTGTGGGAGACGGGAATTGAGTTTCTGACTCCCGGGTTAAGCTCCCTGATATTACAGCCATCTGAGGAGTGAACCAGCAGGTAAGAACTCTCTGGCTCTATGCCTCTCAAATTAAAAAAAAAAAAAAAGTTTTTAAAAATTCTTTGTGTATTGTAGCTATTAGCCTCTTACGGTGTTAAGAGGGTACTTCAGGATGCTCATGGGAAAAGAGAATTAATAAGAGCATTTTAGTGTGGATGTGGCACTCCACACACTCACATCTCCCACTGGAACGTCTGGGTTTCACCCCAGCTTCCTGCTGATGCAGACCCTGGCAGGCAGCAGGGAGGGTGCAAGGAACTGGGTTCCTGGCGCCCACGTGGGAGGTCTGGGTTGCGTTCCCAGCTCCTGGCTTCAGTTCTTCAGTACAACTTTCTTGGATTTTGGAGCATGAACCAGCAGATGGGAGCTCTGTGTCTGTCTGTCTGTCTGTCTCTCTCTCAAATAATAGTAACCTAAAACAAATAAATTTATTTTAGTGTAAAACTTTTTTGAAATCCATGTACACGTGCTCATTTTCCATGAAGTTTTTGAAGATCCTTCTTACAATTTACAATTACAAGCATTTTTTATGGTGTTTTTTTACTTCCTGGTGTCCTTTCATGCACAGGAATGCTTCCTTTGATGAAGTCCAGTCTGTTGTTTCTTTGTTGCCTGTACTTTTGGTGCTTGTCTATAAAACCATTCCTGAATCCAGTACCATAAAGATTTTTCCTTCATGTTTTCTTCTAAGAATAGTATAGTTTGAGTTCTTCTGTTTAGGTCTTTGATCCATTTTGTGGTAATTTTTGTATACTGTATCAGCTGAGTATTATACCTGATTGTTTCGGCATAGATTGCCAGTTTTTCTTCACTCGTATTTGAAGCCTGTTCTGTCTATATTGAATGTGCCCGGTAGTCTTGTTGAAAATACGTTGAGCCGGCGCCGCGGCTCACTAGGCTAATCCTCCGCCTTGCAGCGCTGGCACACCGGGTTCTAGTCCTGGTCGGGGCGCCGGATTCCATCCCGGTTGCCCCTCTTCCAGGCCAGCTCTCTGCTGTGGCCCGGGAGTGCAGTGGAGGATGGCTCAAGTGCTTGGGCCCCGTACCCCATGGGAGACCAGGAGAAGCACCTGGCTCCTGGCTTCGGATCAGCGCGGTGCGCTGGCTGCAGCGTGCCGACCGCGGCGGCCATTGGAGGGTGAACCAACGGCAAAGGAAGACCTTTCTCTCTGTCTCTCTCTCTCACTGTCCACTCTGCCTGTCAAAAAAAAAAAACAAAACGTTGACCATATGTGTGAATATTTATTTTTGTACTCTCTAGTCTGTTGGCTCATAAGTCTGTGTATATGGCAGTGCCTTGCTGTACTGCTTTAATTCCTATAGCTTTGTGATAAATTTTGTAATTGGGGAATGTACATCCTCCAACTTTGTTTTTCTTTTCTAGTATTATTTGGCTATTTGGGGACATTTGAGATTCCATATAAATTTTAGGATGTACTTTTCTGTTCCTGCAGAAATCATTACTGGGATTTTGTTAAGTATTATACCGAATCTGTAGGTTCCCTTGGATAATATTGGTAGTTTAATATCTTCCAATCCATGAACATGGGATGTATGTCTATTTAATCATGTCTTTATTTTTCTTAGCAATTTTATAAATTGTTAAGAAAGATTTATTTATTTATTTAGAAGTCAGAGTTACAGATAGAGAGGCAAAGACAGAGAGAGAGCTTCCATCCATTGATTCACTCCCTAAATAGTCACAATGGCCAGGGCTGGGCCAGGCTGAAGGCAGGAGTCCAGAGATTGTTCTGGGTCTCCCAAGTGGACACAAGGGCCCAAGCACTTCGGGCATCCTCTGCTGCTTTCTCAGGTGCATTAGCAGGGAGCTGGATTGAAAGTGGTGCGCCTGGGTCTTGAACTGACATAATGCCAGCCCCATAGTTTTATAAATCTCAGTGTTTTTAGTTTGTAAGTCTTTGTCCTCATTGTTTAGATTTATTGCTAAGTCTTTTGTTCTTTTAGGTGCTGTTGCATCCCTTATTTTCATTCTCAGTTCTGTTGGTGCCTTTTAGTAGTTTGGTGCCTTGGTGTGTATTTCATGATTTTTGAACAAGTTGAATTTTTTTCATGTAATTATGGAAGAGTATTCTTAGAAACGTGTCTAGCTCTTGAGAAAATCTGTTTTAACATCTCCAATCAGAAAAATGTTTGTGTGTATTAGCTGAGTCTCTGCTGGCTGTAATTGAGTGCTTGTGCCTAGGGATTCTGTATTTTGTGTGTATAGACAGCTGAGTGTTGTCCTGTCTGCGTGTTGAAGTTGATTGCTGCTGTGAGATTGCTGTACACGAATGTACTTGTGTGGCAGGGGTGGAGAGAGCAAGACAAGAAGACAGACATGCAGAGACTAACTGCAGAGACGGGTTGTGTGGAGAATCATGGGCCAGTGTCACTACTGCTTCTTAGAATAAACAGTGACCTGTTGGGTTCTCTCAGGTGAACCTGCCCTGTTTTGTTGCGTGTCTCAGTCTCCCATTGGGGGCTGCATTTGAGGCCTGCTTGCTGAGATTGAGATCTAAGGTCAGGCATGATGAATAATTAACTTTCAGGGCCTGCAAATTCCTGAATGATGTTTGTCCCAGAGAGCAGTCCCAGAGGAAGCAGTGAGAGGATACGGATAAGCTGCAGACGTGAAAGATTGGTGCTGGCTGCACTGCCTTCTCCTGGCCCATTGAGAGCGATCATGGCCTGGGTGCCCTGAGATTTCCAGGGTGAGAGGTTCTTCAACATGATGGGGTGTCTGCACAGGAGACACACAGGCTCTGGTGCATTTGTCATTATTACAAGAGAGTGAACCTAGCTGAACATTTTTTGAAAGATTTATTTATTTATTTGGAAGGCAGACTGACAGGTAGAGACACCAAGAGAGAGGGAGTCTTCCATCTGCTGCTGTGCTCTCCGAATGGCCGTAAGAGCAGTGCATTGGACAGGGGGTTTTGTTTTGGTAATCATGGCTTGTTGCTAACCAGACAACATTATGCACTTATTCCAGAAATTATACTACTGTGATGGAGGCTCTTCTCGTATTGTAAAAAAATGTAGAACTATTTTTGGAAAAATCTTGACTGTCTGAACTTGGATAGGCTTTCTGAAGAAGCCGTCTCACTCTTCCATAAATTTTCTCTGTAGCAAGACCTTGGCTGATTGTTTATGGCGTCCTCTTTGAAAGGCCTGTGCCCTGACAGGCGTGGTGTGTGATCTCTGTTTCTCTCCAAGGAAACGAATGAAAATGTGTACATGCAGCCTGCACACACAGCACTTGCCTAGGTCCTGACCTGAGACGGCACAGGTGAGAACCCAGCAAAGCCTTGGCCCTGCGTGTGTCTCACTTCTCCGAACCTCTGACTGCATTGCTCTAGTTCCCTTGGACCTTTGTTACCTCAGAAACACAGTAAGACAGGCGACACATAGAGGTGTTGGGTCCAGGGGAAGCGTTTGTTGTGTCCAATTAGTTTTCCTGTTGCGTAGTAAACAGCTAGGTTCTATTTAGTGGTTTAGATGAAGGATGAACAGGGGCTTGCATTGTGGCATGGAAGTTTATATGTGATGCTGGCGTCCCATATCAGAGTGCCAGTTTGAGTCCCAGCTGTTCCACTTCCAATTTAGCCTCCCACTGATCTCCTGGGAAAGCGGTGGAGGATGACCCAAATGTTCGGGAGCCTGCCACCCATGTGGGAGACCAGGATTGTGCTCCTGGCTCTGGTTTTGGCCTGACCCAGGCGCTGCTCTTATGGCCATTTGGAGAGCAAAGCAGCAGCTGGAAGACTCCCTCTCTCTCTTGGTGTGTCTACCTTTCTGTCAGTCTGCCTTTCAAATAAATAAATAAATCTTTCAAAAAATGTTCAGGTAGGTTCACTCTCATGTAATAATGACAAATACTGGGATTCTCTTAGTTGAATCTTTAGTCCTTTGGTCATAATTCTTGTTTGTTGGTGTTCTCTGATCAGTGAAATTCCTTAGTATTCTGTAAATGAAAGCCTCGTTAGAATTATAGGGTTTTTCCCTCTTCTGTTTTTAAAGGGAGCTTTATTTTTGAGATAATGAATCTTGGAAAAACATAGGGTGAGCGGTATAATGATGCCATGGCAGTGCTGATCTTTTTCTCTGTCACTCCAGTTTTGGAATCAGTGTTGCACACACTTTCATTTTACTGAGTACAAACAGCAGTATGAAGATTGCAGGAACAGAGGGCATATGGAGGCTATAGATTTGAAGAGACTTTTTTTTTTCCTTTTTAGACGGGGAAAATGATGAGATGAAGTTCTCAGCGATGACCTCAGTAACAAACCACTTCACTCACTCAAAGCTGGGCTCCCCAGGGAAGTTGGCACCCGAGAGACCAGCTGATGCTTCTCATTATTCTGATGTGCAGGAAGCGACTATTCTTTCATCAGAATCTGGGTCCTGCAATAGGTAAGGAGCCTGCAGCCATCAGTTCCTTTAAAATTTCTGTTTGCTGTACACGCCTAGACAGACACACAGCAGTATCAGGAAAGCTGTGCCTGGCACCCATGTCCATCTTGGTTCCAGCCCCCTCACGGCAGGAACCAGCTGGGCGGGGAGCAGGGAGAGCGCTGGTCCAGAGGCTGGCTTCTCTGCTCTGTGGCCTCTGTCTCTGTTTTCCTAGTGTTGGAAAGCAAAGTGGGAAAGGCAGTGGGATTTCTGTCAAGACAGTGGGTGAAGGAGATAATCAGAAAGATGGTGTATAGAAAAGTAAAACAAGGTGGAACAGCGTAACCGAGTAAATAGATCAGGTTGGGGAATCTAAAAATTGGAGTTTTATTGATGAATTGTTTTGAAAAGATTTTTTAAGTGATGATTTGTAAGATGTTAAAGAGCTAATTTATTTTATACAGCTATTTTATCTTCTGACACTTTATTTTATATTACAAGGTTGAGCATGCCTAATCCAATACTCCAAAATCTGAAATTTTTTTGAGTGTCATGGCACACTTTGGGGAGTCTGAGGGGTTTTTGCGTTAGAATTGCTCAGCTAGCAAAGTCCATGCAACTACTCAGAAACCCAAACACTCACACTCCACCAGTGCTGCTGTCAGCCTGTGGTGCTGTTGTCTGTCCCCATGTTGACCAGACCTCCAGAGTTGCTAACCTCTGCTGTTCCAGCGTCCTCCTTGCTCCTTCCTCCTGGGAGGAAGCTCTGCCTTTGCTTCTCCTGAATTCCTCCCTTATCTGTAGGTGCCAGTGCCACGTTAAAATGCTGCTCAGACTTAGCACTGTGCCTTGGGAATTATATCGTCTTCAGTGGTAGTTCGCTTAACAAATCTTAACAGTGCTCTCAAATGATAAATTATTTCTTATCTGAGTCATTAGATCAGAAAGAAGCCTTTTACAACTAGAGTTTACCTGAAGGCCCTTGAATTCCGTGGCGTCCTGGGAAGCAGTTTCACGTTTGTGAGAACTAGGTATTAGGAAGGGAAGTCTTTCCGCCTCCTCCCAGAGATTTGCAAGGTCAGAACATTGTCTCCAGCTGACTGACAGGTCACCAAGTGGTTGTTCTAAATGAGGCCAGCCTGCGAGGCTAGTGGGCAGTGTGTGTTCTTAAACCCAGATCTTCCAGGATATAGGGTAGAAGGGGAGAGGAAGCTGAGGCATGGAGACCTGTGGTCAGCCATGGTCCCTGGGTACCTGAGCACGTGGGGTGATTGGGTGACCCTGGACACTTTTTGAGCTGGGAGTGGGGGTGGAGGACACGGAGTCAGGGACCGTGGCAGTCAGGTGTATCTGGGGACAAAGGCGTAGGACACAGGGTGAGCTGCTTGGAATCTTGGCCTCACCAGGGTGTGCTGGCTGCAGACCGTGCGAGGAGGCTCCGTGAGGGAAATGCCGCAGCCTTGAGGTCGCCTGTGGCCCCGGAACTAGGGGGATGAGTCGTGTGCGGTCTCCGGCTTCAGAAGCGGGAAAGGAGACCCCGCGGAGGGCCGTGTGGACTGACCGCTCCTGGGTCAAGCGCAGTTCAGCGAAGGGTGGCTCCCGCCCGTCGCTCCCCCGAGGCTGCACTGCGCTTTCACCCGACTCCCAGCCCCGCGCTGCCCCTGCTGCCGCTTCCTCGCAGGCTGCTCCGAAGCTCCCCGTGCTGCGTTGTGTGTCAGCACGACCTTCCTTTTAGTCACGCATGATCTCCATTGCAAAGACAATATCGTGGAGTTTGCACCCCTTGGGAGCACAGCCTCACTGGTGGTGTGTAAGGATTTACCAGGCTTGCCTTGAGGGGCGGCAGTGGTGTCTCCTTGGGCACTCAGTACTCACTATCAATGGAGCAAGCGTGAACAGGAAGTGTTAAATACATTGTAAATATTCAGTACAGCAATCTTTGGGCTTTTTGTTTTTTTTTGGAATTTTTTTAAAGACTTATTTATTTACTTGAAAGTCAGAGGTACAGAGAGAAGGAGAGAGAAATCTTCCATCTGCTGGTTCACTCCCAAAAGGCCACAAAAGGCAGGGATGGGCCAAAGCCAGGAGCCTGGAACTCCACCTGGGTCTCCCCCATGGGTGATAAGGGCCCACGTGGTTGAGCCATCTTTTTTTTAAAGGTTAATTAATTTATTTGAAAGGCAGAGTCACAGAGGCGGGGGTAGGGAGGGGGAAGAGATCTTCCATTTGCTGGTTCACTTCCTAAATGGCCGCAACAGCCGGAGCCAGGAGTTTCTTCCGGGTCTCTCAGGTGGATGCAGGGTCCCAAGCACTTGGGCCATCCTCTACTGCTTTCCCAGATGCATTAACAGGGAGCTGGATGGGAAGTGGAGCAGTTGGGACTTGAACTGGCACCCATAGGAGATACCGGCATTGCAGGTGGCGGCTTTACCCACTACACCACAGCACCAGCCCCTGGTTGAGCCGTCTTCCACTGCTTTCCCAGGCGCATTACCACAGAGCTGGATCAGAAGTGGAGCAGCTGGGACTTGAACCAGAGTTCACCTGGCATGCTAGTATGTGGGTGGCAGCTTAACCCACTGTGCCACAACATCAAGCCCTGGAGTTCTTTTTTATGCTCCCTTTTCATAGTTCTGTTACCTTGTCAATCTAAAATCTTTCAGTTTAAAAGGTAGACTCTTCCTTGTGCCAGGTAATGCCTGGAAACTGAGGGTGTAGGGCAGTGGGGAGGGGGTGGGCACTGATCTGTGGGCTTGGCGTGGGGTGAGCTCAGGCCTTCTGCAGTGTCCAGGGAATGGACTGTCAGGTGTGAGTGTGCAGCGGGGATCAGCCATGGGTGGCTGCAGGCTAATAGGCTTTGAGTTGAGTGGCTTCCTAAGTTCTCCTGGATGAGTTTTGGATTCAGTCTTCTGAAGACTATTTTCATGTCTCCTTGAAAAGCACATAAAAATATATTACATCTCAGCTCTGCTGGGAAGATTAAATGGGATAATAGATGTGAGAGTTTTTGATAAATATGTGATTTTTGGTACTACTTTCATAAAGGCAGCTCAATTGGATTTTCTTCAGTAATTCTGGAAAATGCGGATTTCCTGGCGGAGCCCTGCAGTAATGGCTTCTCAGCCCTCACCCAGCTGACGCTGAGCCTGAAGTTGAGACGTCGGCTGCGGTTGGCTGCGGCTGTGCCGGTGCTGCCAGTGGGGTTCGCCATGGCTCTTTGCAGCGCCATCATCAGTGGTATTGCATGTACAAGGGTACTTGGGAAAAATTTATGGAAAACAATTAAAATGTAAATTTCTTTTAGTGCAGAAAGCTTCTAAGTTTGTGCATTGTGTTTTCATAATACACATTTTTCATGAACTTTTTCAAGACCCTTTGTATTAGTGTTTCCTTAGTTGGTCATTTAACTTATTGTTCACAAAATAATGAAGCAAAGCAGCTATAGTCTGTGAAGAAAAACCCAGACACAGAGCAGCAGGGTGCAGACTTGTCAGAAAGGCAGTACTGGGGCCGGCGCTGGGCACGGTGGGTAAAGCCACCGCCTGCAGCACCAGCATCCCGTGTATACACTGGTTTGGGTTCTGACTGCTCCATTTCCGATCTAGCTTCCTGCTAATGACCTGGGAAAGTGGTGGGTGATGGCCCAAGTCGTTGGGCCCCTGCACCAAAAAAGGAGACCCAGATAAAGCTCCTTGCTCCTGACTTTGGACCGGCCCAGCTCCAGCTGTTGGAGCCATTTGGGGAGTAGACCATCGGATAGAAGATTTCTCTCTGTCTCTCCCTCTCTCTCTAACTCTGCCTTTCAAATAAATAAATAAATCTTAAAAGGAAAGAAAGAAAGGCAGTATTCACCAGGACCTGAGTGACCACAGCTCTATATTCTTTTGAGAAACAACCGGGTGCGGTCCAGGGCAGGAAAGAAAGACCTCCACAAGTGTACGAAGAGACGCTGCACTGTGTAATGAGCCATGGGCGATGATTGCCCGTTTGCTACGTGACTGCTGAAGGCAGGGGAAGCAGCCAGATCTCTCAGATTCAGGGGAAGGAATTCTGGAACAGGCAGGCAGCATGAGTCACTCGTGGGCGGCCGAGGACTGTTGCTAAGATAGCAGATGTTAGCTTGTCAGACGTAGCAAAACTGCTTATGCTCCAGCCGCATGCGGTGAGTTGCAGACAATGGAGTTGGAATTACAGAATGGATGACATCACTCCAGTGACGTCCCTGAGGCAGCAGCTGAGACTCTGCCCCCCGTGCTGCGGCGGTGGTGCAGGGGAACGGGCTGTCGGGGCACACCCAGAACAGGCGGACGAGCAGCCACAGCCTGTGTCTGAGACCTTTTAGGAGCACTCCAAGGGGATTGGTTAGATTGTTTATGGAGTCGCACGGCGATGCTAGAAGAGGAGAACATATGCAGGAGCTCTGAGGAGCTGTCTGTCCGTGTAAATTAAAGATTCTCACTGGGAAGGAAGGAGTGTGCAGTGCCTCAATTGACTTTCAGTTTTTCTTAGTGACATGAAATAATGTTTCATCTTGCAGTCCATGTTGTCTTAGATATTGCCTCAGATTTTCTGAATATGAGTAATGTCCCTGTTTTACTGTAAACATCGTTTTATCATCCATTTAGAGACTCAGAAATGGAGCATATATTACTGATTAGTGGAAGCCTGACAGAGGCTGGCGCAAGTACAGTGATCGTTGCTTAGTGCCAGCCTTATTGGCGGCCCGTGTTGCGGTGCAGCGGGTTAAGCCTCCATTTGTGGTGCTGACGACCCATCTGGCTGCTCCGGTTCCGGTCCGGCTCCCTGCTAATGCAGCTGCCACAGCAGAAAGTGGCCCAGGTTCTTGGGACCTTGCACTGACGTGGGAGACCTGGATGGGGCTCCAGCCTGGCCTAGTCCTGGCTATTGGGCCGTTTGGGGAGTGGACCAGTGGATGGACTTTCTCTGTCTCTGTCTCTCTCTCTTGAAAAACAACCAGGTACCCTCCAGGGCAGGAAAGGAAGACCTCCACAAGTGTACGAAGAGACGCTGCACTGTGCAATGAGCCATGGGCGATGACTGCCCGTTTGCTACGTGACTGCTGAAGGCAGGGGAAGCAGCCAGATCTCTCAGACTCAGGGGAAGGAATTCTGGAACTGTCAGGCAGCGTGAGTCACTCAAGAGAGAGAGAGAGAGTCAGAGAGAGTGAGGTCTTCCATCTGCTGGTTCACTCCCCAGTTGGCCACAACGGCCAAGCTGCACCAATCCAAAGCCAGGAGCCAGGAGCCAGGAACCTCCTCTGAGTCTCCCACGTGGGTGCAGGCGCCCAAGCACTTGGGCCATCTTCCACTGCCCTCCCAGGTCACAGCAGAGCGCTGGATCAGAAGTGGAGCAGCCAAGACCTGAACCAGGGCCCACATGGGATGCTGGCACTGCAGGCAGTTTTACCTGCTACGCCACAGCACGGGCCCTTCGTTTTGTTTTTAAAAGGGGTTTATTTGATAGGCAGAGTTAGAGAGAGCGCTTCCATCTGCTGGTTCACTTGCTAAATGGTTTAAGTGGCCAGGACTGGGCCAGGCCAAAGCCTGGAATTCCATCCAGATCTCCCACATGAGTGCAGGGGCCTAAAGACGTATGTTGCTTTCCCAGGAGCATGAGCAGGGAGCTGGATCGGAAGTAGAGCTGCCGGGACTTGAAATGACAGTCATGTGAGATGATGGTGTCACAGACACAGGCTTATTCACCTGTGCCACAACACTGGCACAGTTTTTTGTTAAAAAAAATTTAGGTTAAAAAAATAAAATTCTATAGTTTTATCAGCCAAAAGTATCTTAGTGTTAACACTTTAATAAATATATCTTTCCAAAGACAGATGTGTGGATAATTAAGATGAACACCTTTTAAACAGTTTGATGATACAGTTTTTGTCATTTTTCAAACATTTTTCTGGGGCAAGCGCTGTGGCATAGAGGGTAAAGCTGCCGTCTTCAGTGCTGGCTTCCTGTATGGGCACCAGTTCGTGTCCCAGCCGTTCCACTTATGACCCAGTTCCCGCTGGTGTGCCTTGGAAAGCAGCAGAGGATTGCTCAAGCCCCTCACCCGAGTGGGAGACCCAGAGGAAGCTCCTGGCTGTGGCCTGCCCCAACCCCAGCTGTTGCCGCCATCTGGGGAGTGGGCCAGCGGATGGAAGATCTCTTTCTATCTACTTCTCTATAACTCTACTTTTCAAATAAATAAAAATAAAATCATTTTAAAAACAATGAAATGCTTTTCTTCCCTTTTTTTCTTTTTTAAACATATTTATTTAGTTGAAAGTCAGAGTTAGAGAGAGAGAGGGAGAAACAGAGAAATCTTCCAGCTGTTGGTTTGCTTCCTACATAGCCACAACAGCCAGGGCTGGGCCAGGCTGAAGCCAGGAGCCAGGAGCTTCATGTGGGCCATTTCTGTTGATTTTCCCAGCTCATTAGCAGGGAGCTGGTGGAGAAGTAGAGCAACTGCAATTCGAACCATTTGGGATGCTGGCATCGCAGGCAGTGGGTAAAGCCACAGCTTTACCTGCTGTGCCACAGCACCAGCTCCAAAATGCTTTTCTTTGTAAGAGAAAAGACAAGGTATTTTAGGTCTAACGTAAGTGCACATATATCGTGAATTGTTTCTGAATCATATAGTTATGACATAATGCAGAATATAGATCTTAATATTATGCTATTGGATAAAGGCTTTTTTTTTTCCTCAAAACAGTATTCAAACTTACGTGATTTGGCAGATTGGGAGCTAAGAATAATCTTGTCTTGAGATGCAGTAGATCTATCCAATCCAGATATTTTGGTGAAGAATTTTGTTGCTTACTTAATTCCTAATTAATACTCCCTTTAGAATTTGAAGTATTAGTTTTATATCGATCTAAGCTAGCCTGAAGACAGATGATAAACACGTTGATAAGAATTTTGGATTTCTGTGCAGCTTCTTGCTGGATGACTTCCGGGAATTCAAAAGACTTGGCCAAGTTTCTGTGAATTAACTTATTGTTCTTCCTAGTCAGGCAGAGAGGGCTTTTGTTCCCGTGTTTGGCACGCAGGAGACGCTGCATTCTTGTCGAGGGCTGCGTGGGAAGAGGAGGTGCTGCTGGTTGCAGCCCTGGAGGGGAAGCTCTGCCCTTACGCAGGGAAGGATGCGGCCACGCTGGTCCTGGGCACAGCCTCCAGGTCGGCATGCTGTGTCTTGGCAAAGGATGCTGGAGAGAGGCAGGGTCTTTGGGCACAGCTGGAATATGGAAATGCTCTCTAGATGAGATGATGTTGCCACATACTCAGTTTCCTGGTTTTGAAAGTCGTATCCTGGTGATGTGAGTGGCTGTGGCGGAGGGTGAGAGGGATGTGATGGCTGCCCCTTCCTGTTGGTGGTTAAAGAAGTGACATGTTTTACATACAGGTTATGACACGCACAGAGGACAGGAGAAAGCACATGCAGCGGAATGTTGGCAAAATCTGGGTGTTGCAAATGTTGCAAAATCTGGGTGACGGGGCCATTTATTTGTTTTTGTAAACTACAAAATTGAAATTTTAAAAATTTTAAAAATTTAAAAATTTTAAAAATTTCTGAAAAGCCTATTCATAATGAAAGTTGCTGGCATGTATTGTAAGAAAGAGAAATAGCTGGCTTCCTGCGTATTAGAGAGTTTCTAAAAGGAAAGATTTATACTTGCCATTTATTGACCAAAATAAATAAATAAATAAATAAATAAATAAATAAATAAAAGCAGTAACTGAAGATCTCCATGGCATGGTGAATGGTGAATGGGGTTGCCGTTCATTCACAGCCAACTGAACATGGCTTTCTGTTAGCCCTGGTATGAGGAATGCGCTAACAAGTGGGCACCGTGACTTCTGTACTCGTGAAATCCGCTGATCTCAGCGCTTTGTGACTGGATTTGCAGTCCTGCCTGGAGGGCTTTCCCATAGATGAGGGCTGGCTACAAATGCACCTGGGTCCGCTCAGGCGTGAAGGAGCACATTTTAACTTCTCACGAGTCCTGGAGAAAGCAGTCACTGCGTCTCAGATACTAAATGAGTAGCCCCCTCTCTGTGGAGGAAATCCCACACAGACAGGAGGCACAGAGCACCCAGCAGTTTGACAGACAGGCTAACCGTTGGCCATGTGTCTGCTAGATTCTGCTACACCTTTCTTTCACCTTTCTGTCATTTTGAAAGCCCTACTCAAAATTACTAAGGGTTGGAGAGAGAAGCAAGAACAAAGCCTGTGAAGAGATCTTTTCTTGTTTTTAATATTTTAGATTGATTTGGGAGGCAGAGAGCGAGCACGAGCGCCCGTCTGCTGGCTAACCATCCATATGCCCACAACAGCTGGAGCTGGCTGGGGTCGAAGCTGGGAACCGGTGCAGTCTGGGGCTGTCGTGTGGTGGTAGCCCGAACCCAAGTACTTGAGCTGACTCCACCAACCCCCAGGGTCTTCATTATAGGAAGCTGGAGTCAGGAGTCGGAGCCAGGAATTGAACACAGGAGCTCTGATGTGGGATGTGAACATTGTAACCTCTAGTCCAAATGTCGGTTCCCTGAAGAAATCTTGATTACTGGTTTTTTTTTTGTTTTTTTTTTGTTTTTTTTGTTTGTTTGTTTTTTTTTAAGAAAAGATAAATAGCTAAATCCCAGCCTTCCTTAAGTCCTGAGTAAGTTGCCGGGTGGTGGAGGTGACCCTGAGGGGAAATGGCTGCGCCATTCTTGAAGGACTCTCGAGCACCGGCACCGTCCACGTGTGGATGGACCGGGCTGAGCCTGCTGCTTGGCAGAGGGGACGGGCGGCCGCCGGACCTGTCGTCAGAGCAGCCTCTCGTGGCCGGGAGCGTAGTCAGGGTAGGGGTGAGAACGTGCAGTCTGCTCAGGATTGGGTCACCTGCACAGTTTGTGATTGGTGAATACAGCAGGAGGAGGGCTCCAAGGGGAGTCTCGAAGCTCCTTGATGCTTTGTGCTGAGAAGCTTCTGGGTCATTCGGGACGTTTTTTGTCCAGCTTGTGTCTTCCTGGGCCAGAGGCTCCTGGAGCAGCACACTTTGTACTGATAAACACACTGGAGTGCTGGGGTCTTCTCACGTGGGCCGTGAGCCGTGTGGCTTCTCCGTGGGCTGTCTGAATGCTTGCAGCGTGGCACCCTTCAGTCCACAGCGAACCCAGTGTGGAGATCTGGCAGCGGAAGGCCGGAGGAGTCAGATGACTAGCTTAGGGCTGATCAGGTTGTATGTGGCAAGACCAAGATTTGAACCCAGGCTGGCAGAACTCGAGCCTGTGTCCTCCTTACTGCTAGGCTGCTGTGGCCAAGCAGCCAGGCTTTCCACCCCCGTGAGAGGAGAAATGGGCAGTTTTTGAAGCGGTTACACGGTTAGGTTCCTGAGAAGCTGCCCCCGAGACAGGCATTGGAATGGAGGTGGTGTGTTTGGAAGAGGAGGGGAAGGCAGCATTAAGGGGCAGGTTTTCGAGCCAGGGCCTGTGTGCGCAGCTGAAGTGTGGTCCTTCCCGGAGCCTGGGAGCTGCGCTGTGACACTCAGCCAGGGTCCCCAGGCAGGAGGCCGGGGCGCTTCTGTCATTCAGTCCCTGGGGCTGCGCCTTCCTGCTGCAGACAGAGCAGGCTGTCCCCTCAGGCCACAGCTGAGGTTGGAAGTCAGGCCAGGCACTTGGGGGACAGGTAGGAGTGGGGGCTGGAGCAGGCCCACGCAGGGTTTCAAGTGCAGATTGGTTTTCCGGGTGCTTTGTGAATGTGGATGTCGGAGGAGAGAGGCGCAGGTGATCTCAAACCCTCCCAGCCAGTTGGGTCCGCAAACCCCGCTGGTCACTTCTCTGTAAACACCTAGACATTGTGTGACTTGAGCCCTTTGTGGATATTTAAGCAGAATTGTTTTTTGAAAGCCACCCTTCTGTTTGGCAGATTTTATGGTAATTTTGAATATGTATTTTTTACATAGAATTACATTGCTGAACAATGTGGATGTGGTATTTTGAAGTATACGCAATATATGTATAAATATAAATATGTACTATTTAATTTGCATGGATTTATGGACCTTAAACATTTGTCTGATCGTTATTTCCTGACGTTTTTCCTTCACTTGTCATTTTATAGCTCAGTGAAAGTTTTTCCTGCTGTTACTGTCTGTGTCTCTAGATGGAAGGCGTTATTGGGAGCCAGGTTTCTCTGGGCGGGGGAGGGTGTTACAGACCAGCAGGGCTGAAATGCACTTGAATTGGAGATGTTCATATGAACTCCTTTTTTGCTTGATAGGGCTTGGCAGGGTGGAACATAGAGAAACAGGCACAGCTTCAGGCGTTTTGCGGGTCAGTGTGCACGCCTTTTTCCTGGCTCTGTCAGCTTACGCACCAAGGACGCACGCACAGCCGCATGAACACACCTGTTGGAAAACATTCAGTTCTGGAGCTGGGCCTGGAAGACACAAGGGCGTCCTGGAACGTGTTGTAGGACCAGGAAGCAAGGAAGTCCACGAGAAAGGACAAAAAGGGGAAAGGAGAACAGGAAGGGAGAAAAAATAGAAATGGGCACATATATGTAATAATTGGGATTTAATTTTTAAAGGTTTATTTATTTATTTGAAAGGCAGAGATGCAGAGAGGGAGAGAGAGACAGAGAGACTCTTCTGTCTGTTGGTTTACTCCACAAATGGCTGCAGTGGCATTTGGGCCAGGCCAAAACCTGGAACCAGCTTCTAGGTTTCCCACGTGGAGGCAGGTACCTAAAGACTTGGGCTATCTTCCGCTGCTTTCCCAGGCATGTTAGCAGGGAGCTGGATCGGAAGTGGGGCAGGGGGACCCCAACTGGCACCCATGTGGGATGTCAGAGCTGCAGGCTGTGGCTTAACCTTCTACGCCATGGGATCTTTACCTGAATGCCCTTTAGCTGGGACTCACCAGAGGGACACAGGAGCCAGCTGAAAGAGTTCCCATGCCCAGTGCTGGAGTAATTTAAGCAGTAACATAAAGTTGGATTGGACTAACTTAAAGTAAAAAAAACTTCCATGAGTTCGTACTAATAAAAATGTAATGGGAAGAATAGACAGTTCTGGGGCCGGCATTGTAGCGTAGCCGAGAAAGCTTCCCCTGCAACGCTGATGGCGCCAGCTGCACGTACGGGCGCCAGTTCCAGCCCCAGCTTTATGCTAATGCTCCTGGGAAAGCAGTGGAAGAGGGCCCAGGTGCCTGGGAAACCCAGAAGAGGCTCCTGGTTCCTGGCCTTGGTCAGGCTCAGCCCTGGCCATTGTCGCTATTTGAAGCAAACCAGTAGATGGAAGATCTCTTTCTCTTTCTCTCTCTCAGTCTCCAAAAAAAAAAAAGGTAATTCTTCTGGGTATAGAAATTGCAAGTAATTGATGTTGATGTTGATTCTTCCCCTCAGGGAGGTGGAGGTAAATCCCCTGCTTGTCATGGCTTCGTCCCAAGAAGCTGGACAGCTCCTCAGCTGGGTGACCAGGGTCGGCGTCACACTGATCGTGTGTGCCCTAGACAAGGGTTACGAGAGTGACCCTGCTCCTCTGTGGTCTTCCTCCTCGAAGCTCGTGTTCGCAGTCCTATGATGAAACACACATCACACAGCCTCCCGTTGCGGGTCTTTGTGTCACACACATCAGCCAGCACTCCTCAGAGACAGGAGAGGTCTGAGAAGCGCTCAGTCTGGAGGAGCCTAGGAAACTGGTGACCTTGTGGCGTCAGGCGCCCTGGGTGGAACTGGGAGGGAGATGTAGGGCCAGGTGTGGACTCTGCATTAGTGATGAATTGATGTTGTTTCATTCGCTGTGATTAATCTATCATAGTGACATGGGATGTTAACCATAGAGGAAGTCCAGTGTAGAACATACCACAACCTTGTCTACAGTTGTTACAGGGAAAATGGCGATAAAGAAAAGTGCTGGGGCAGGGGGTGGGGTGGAATGTGGCCAGCTGGTAAAGCCACCGCCTGCAGTGCTGGCATCCCTTATGGGTCTCTGCATCCACATGGGAGACCCTGATGCAGCTCCTGGCTTTTGGCTTTGGATTGGCCCAGCTCTGGCCATTGTGTCCATTTAGGGAGTGAACCAGCAAATGGAAGACTTCTCTTTGCCTCTACCCCTCTGTAATTCTGCTTTTCAAATAAATCTTTAAAAAAAGAAAAAAGTGGCCTTAATTTTTTTTTTAAGATTTTATTTATTTATTTGAGAGATACAGTCATAGAGAGAGAGAGAGAGCCATAGAGAAAGTTCTTTCATCCACTGGTTCACTCCCCAGATGGCCGCAACGGCCAGAGCTGGGCCAATCCAAAGCCAGGACCCAGAAGCTTCCTCTGGGTCTCCCACGTGGGTACAGGGGCCCAAGCACTTGGGCCATCTTCTGCTGCTTTCCCAGGCCTTAACAGAGAGCTAGACCAGAAGAGGAGCAACTGGGACCAGAACCAGCGCCGATACGGAATATCTGTGCCCCAGGCGGAAACTTAGCCCACTGCACCACAGTGCCAGCCCCGATGGCCTTTGTTCTTGTTTCACACAGAACAGTTTCTGTGGACAAGGCAGTGGGCAAAAGCAAGATGTATGTCCGTCAGAAACCTCCTGTCCCGGCAGCCAGGAGGGGAGCTCCAAGAGAGACCCAAGAAACTGTGTAGGTTGAGTCTTTTAAGCACAATTTTGGGAGAAAAAAACAGAAGAGCAGCTGATAATCAGAGAGTGGGGGTGAAGCCCCTGAAAGGCCGGAGCCCTGGTCCTGTCTGGCTTGCTCGCGGTTGAACAGGGATGCCATCAGAAGATGTGCTGGTCGCTTCTCCTCTCTGTTCTCAGGATCAGTGAACTCAGAGGGTGGAGTCGCCGCCTCTCTGCTCTTCCAATGAAACTGGCCGCTTGAGTGGTGTTGGCGCTTTGATCTTGCTGAAGGCAGCTTCTGGGAAGACATGCGTTTTGAACCCTCTTAAAGAGGCTTCCCCCTTCCCCATTCCAACCTGGGCTTCCTCACACTACCTCTGCAACTTTTCTGTGAAAGTAAACAATTTAAACCACAAGTTTTGGGGTGGACGTCCGTGTTGTGGTTGAAACGTTGCTGGGGACATTGCGCGCCATGTCAGAGGCGTGCATTGGAGTCCTGGCTGTGCTGCCCATTGTGGCCTCCCGCTGGTGCAGCCCTGGGAGGCAGCTGTGGCGGCTCCAGTACTTGAGCCCCTGCCCCCACCTGGGAGGCCTGCCCCAGTCCCCAGCTCCTGATTCCGCTTGGCCCCACCCTGGCTCTTGCCACATCTGGGGAGGGAGCCACAGTTGGGACATCTCTGTCACTCTGTCTGTGCCCGTCTCTCACTGCTTTTCAAATACAAAAATATAAATATATAAGTCAGATATGAATTTTTTTCTAAAATAAAAAAGATACAACAGGGAAAGAGGAATGTTAGTATGAAAATATCCAAAGAATGTATTAAATATTGTAAAAACCAAAGTCATCAAAACTGTTCTTAAGTAGAAAATTGGGAACTGCTGGATTATAGTAAGTTTAATTATTAAGCTATTCTTTTTTTAAAAAACTATTCTTTCTTCTTTTCATGTAATATTACACATTACATTTAGTTACATAAATTCATTAGCACACCCACTTTTAGT